TTTTCACTTAACACGGTACCCTGTGGGTTTTATTGACCGCGTTAAGCGGGGTACTACTGTATGTATATATATATATATATATATATATATATATATATATATATATATATATATATATATATATATATATATATATATATATATATATATATATATATATATATATATATATATACATACATACAGTAATACCTCGCTTTACGTGGTCAACTGAACCCTGGGAGGCCCGCGTAAAGTGGGGAACGTGTAAAGTGAACAACAGAACATATGGGATTAATTGAAATAGAGACTGGGCCGACCTCCAAACTCCACATTTTCCCGACACAATATGTATGTTTTAATAAAAATAACATCTTAACTTTATAATGGTATGCACACACACATAATACAGAATAGAAATATCAATAAGAGAATAATATACTGTACCAGGTAAAAGAAAAATCAAGGTTTAACAAATATGTCATGGTAGGTTAGGTTAGAAAAATCAAGGTTAGGTTTAACACTTGTGTTAGTAGAAGAGATGGGTTGGCGTTCGGGAATGGAGGCTGGTTCCAAGGCAGACGGCAGGCTACTGGCCCTCAGGTAAGTCACCATCACTGTCATCCACATTTATCAGTGCCTCCCTGACAAATCTCTCAAAGTCACCATCATTGTCTCTGTCACTATCACTGGCTTGGGCTGGCTGTGGTGGGTTGCGGGCAAAGAACTCTGTAATGCTTTGTTGACGGCTAGTGTTGATGTTGTCGTGATACACCTTGATGTAGGGCTCCATAGTCTGCAACAGCTGGGGTGTGAAGACTTCATACCGGTTATCGTCAGGGTCGTCGGAAAGGAGGAGCTTCAGTTTCTCTACACACTCGATGGTACCCCTTACATTACCATGTGATAACCTGCGTTCTTCTCGGGATGACGCACCACCTCTCTCTTCACTGACGTCATCGTCATGCAACATCTCGTCGGCAGTCACATCAGGATCCCTTATTACCTCCATAATGTCGTCGTTGGTGGTCTCGGAGAAGCCTTTAGCTGTAACACTCTGCGCAGCTTCTCTGGCAAGGTCCACTGCTGCTGCAACAGTCTAAACCTCACCAGTCACAGATTGACTCTGCCTCCCACCTGGGATACCTTGCAACACATGTCTCCATGCATGACAAACCGTTGCTAGAGACAGCTGATCCCATGCCTCCACCAAGAAGTCCACAGCTTTCTTGATGTTGAATTTCCTCCAAAAGTGTTTCACAAGTACTTCTTGCTCTGCCAACTGTTGTTCCTCATCCTCTTCGCTCTTGCTATCGGTGTCACCCAGGTTACGCAACTCATCCTTGGTGTTGGTATAGTCGTTCAGGAGCTTAAACTTCTTTGCAGAGAATGCGGCTTTCACATTTAAGATCAATTCTTGGTCCATGGGCTGTATTAATGACATAGTGTTGGGAGGAAGGAAGACCACTTTCACGTTGGGGTGACGATCCAACAGTAGGGGCGAGGCGAGTGTCCTGGTGCGTTGTCAAGCGGCAACAAAATCTTGAATGGACAATTCTGTTGCTCACAGAATTTCTTCACGTCGGGAACGAAACAGTCATCAAACCAGGAGAGGGACAGAGTAGAGTACATCCACGCCTTACGTGTGGTCAGCCAGTGGACATTTAGCTTGGTCATGTCCATGTTCTTGTAGGCGTGTGGCTTGCGGGCAGTGTGGATCACCGATAACTTGAGTTTACAGGAACCGGAGGCATTAGTGGTAAAGAGGACGGTGATGCGCTCCTTCTGCAACTTCCGGCCCCGACACTTGCTGGCAGTCTTGACAACGAAGGTCTTGGAAGGTAGCTTTTTCCAAGAGACCGGATTCGTCCATGTTGAACACCTGGTCGTCGGTGTACTGTCCTTCCTGCATAATCTCATGTAAAAACGGAGGAAAATCTCTAGCTGCAACACGGTCAGCACTAGCTTCTTCACCACCAATGTTAATGTTAGTCATCTTGTTCCTCTTCTTAAACCTCTGCAACTACCCAGAGGAAGCATTGAAGGGCTTGGGCTCTGCAATTCCCATCTTACGTGACACTGCTGCGTACAGTTCACGTGTGTACTCCTGAACTGACCGAGTGTCGACCGCCATGTTCCGTCTTGCCTGACGAATCAAGGAGCTCACAAGTAACTTCTCCGTCTTGAGAAGCACCTTGTTGTGGCAATACTTGATCATAGAAGCACCTGTAGACTTTGTGATGTTCATGTGTTCTTTTATCTTGACTACATCCTTCTTGATGCAGCCAAATCAACCTGTCTTGTTCCTTTCTCCAACTCTTGGATGATCTTGTACTTCGCCTCGTAGCTTAGGGCAAGTCGTATCTTCTTTGGCTTAGGGCGGCTGGGTCCAGGTAATGCAAGGTTTCTTTGTGGTGGTGGTGGTCCGGTGGCAGCCATTCTTATGGAACAATGGATATCGATATACATGGTGTAGCCAGGAGGGGTGTAACTGACGCGAACAGGTCAACGGGCTTCATCGCTCCCGCGGCAGGGCACGTCATATTACATTCTACCAATCACAGCTGGCGGGGAGGGAGGTAAGGATGCGTGGCCCAATCACAGTCCGATATGTCATATGACGTCACCGATAACACAACAAAAACATACACTGCGCAACCTACTCGCGCCGCTTATCCAACAAGGCGAGATGGCGGGAGAGGGCGGGAGAGATGGCGGGAGGTTTGAATCAAAAAATGGCGCGGCGCGAGATGACCGCCAGCCGCTCTCCGAGTAAAAGAGTAGATGTACCACGTAAAGTGAACATTCCAGTTCTGGCGGGGTACCGCGTAAACGTAGAAACGCGTAAAGTGGGGTAATACTGTATAGTGAAAAATAAAATTACGTTCTTCCTTCCTTTACTTCTTTCATGAATTTCCCTGCTTTCCTCAATCCCCTCCCTCTTTGATGAGCAACTTACATCACAGCCCTCCTGCAAGTCGACCATGACCCCCCTCCACCCCATGTGACTTACAGTGCAGAAAGGACCCAGCTAGGTGCAGGGGTTAGATGGTGGATTGGATGATTACTTTTGACTACGATTACATGAATGATGTTGACATTAAGAATAACTTATTACCCATGAAATTTTTGAAAATCAATACAGAATTTTAATTTCTACCGATTGAAATAAGACTAAAATTTACACTGAACACAATATTCCTCTAGCATAATATTCTTCTCGTGTTTCTCTAGTTAGCGAATCAGTCAATCTGGCTCCACCATTCTGCTGGTACTGATGGAATGATAGAGAACATCATTCTTTTTCTTTTATCCTCTTCACCACTGATCGGCTCGTTAGCCGCTTGGGCGATCGGTCACGTCTCTGTTACGCTCTGTTGGCAAGTACTGGGCATGCACTGACTCCTGAATGTACCTGAACCTGCTCCAGTGTTGGTTAAGTCTTGTGTTGAAAAAGCTCACACTCAGTGCCGTCACAACACTTTCTGGTAGGTTGTTCCAAGAAATCACAACTCTCACTCCGATAAAGTTTGCCCTCACAGTTTTCCGGACTATGCCAAGACTATTTCTTTTTGGACAGAGTCCAAATCTCAAGTTTTAGAATAAAAAACATACTGGGCTTTAAAATAGCCCTTGACAAGAGTATCAAGAACAATGGAGGCATTTTTCCCTCTGTATGGCCACCTCTAATTTGGGTGGCCATTAGATAAATAAGGTACAGTGTACATGTTACCCTGGAAGGCCAAAGTAAACAATGATATGAAATTTTAAATTAGAAGAATTACAATATAACCTAAAGTACAGTATTACCCGCTTTACACGGTTTCACTTTCCGTGATTTCTCATTTACGTGGTATCTTGCCAGAACCGGACTTTCACTTTCCGTGGTGCATCTACTCATATACGCACGGTGAAGTATAATTTATTTTTTATTTTTTTATTTAGCTCATAAAATTCATACAAATTACCCTGCCAGAATATAATTTACATTGCTGGAATTCATACAATATGATGATCATTTTGAATATAAACATCATGGATTTTGCATTAGACATACAAATTTTAGATCTAATGTAATAATTTGGTTTACACAAAGCAAGTATTTTATTGTTTGTGCAAAATTTATGAAGTTTACATTCAAAATATTCCCTGACCTGCAAGGAATCTAGAAATGTCAATTATATTATCCTAACTTTAGTCTGGGTTATTATTTATTACTAAAAATGTAAATATACTATTTTCTCCCAATCGCTTCTCTGGTAGGGAGGGAAGGTGGGGGGTAGGAAGGGAGGGAGGGCGGAGGTGGGGTATTTTGATTGACAGATAGTGTCCTTGAGGAATATTTCTTTGTTTATTTACTGAAGATATTTGTTTTAGCTCATAAAATTCATACAAATTACCCGGCCAGAATATAATTTACATTGCTGGAATTCTTACAATATGTTGATCATTTTGAATATAAACATCATGGATTTTGCATTAGACATACAAATTTTAGATCTAATGTAATAATTTGGTTTACACAAAGCAAATATTTTATCTTTTGTGCAAAATATATGAAGTTTACATTCAAAATATTCCCTGACCTGCAAGGAATCCAGAAATGTCAATTATATTATCCAAACTTTAGTCTGAGGTATTATTTATTACTAAACGTTAAAATCTAGTGGTTTCACCCAAACATTTCTCAGAGAGGTAGGAGCTAGTGAGCTGGGAAGAGGGGGGGGGGGTGGGGGATTTGAGTCCATTATTTGAATGGACATTAACCTGGCGACTGTATTTCTCTTAAATATTAATTGTGTGAGCATACCATCATAAAATTTAGATGTTATTTTTACCACAACATAGGTATTGTGTCAGAAAAAGTGGAGTTTGGGGGTCGGGCCAGTCTCTATTGGAATTAATCCCATATGTTCTGTTGTTCACTTTACGCGGTTTTCACTTTCCGGGTACCCTGTGGGTTCACTTGACGTGTAAATCGGGGTACTACTGTACAGTAATAGCCTGAATACAGTACTTACGCCATGAAATATTTTGTGAAGAAATAAGCTCTCCATACTTTTCAAAAATATCTTGTTGAGCTCCAATGATAAAGGTGGCGTAGGTAACCAATGAAAATGGAAGTATCTGAAAAATAAAGGTAAAAATATTAAACATATCGGTAAGTATCCCTTAAGTTACCGGTATGTATAAAAATGTTAAACACTTTGACTACAGTATCTGAGTACAACTTCAACCATGTGAACCAGTACTGTTATTACATTAGTATTATCATCAAATATCTAATTGCATTAATAAAGTAAAATAGAAAATGTACAGTGTACTGTATATAACCTTAGACTCTGCAAGTACCACAGCCAAGTCCCCCCACAAGGCTGTCACGGCTGAGTGGAAGTAGAAACCTTTGTCATATATCTCATCTACCAGAGCGAAGGTTTCATACAAAGTGTGGTACATGGGCTCTCCAATAGTGTTCTAAAGGAAAAGAAAAGTTAATTACATATATTTCATGACTTAAGATCATTGACGACAACAAAATCCAATTATTTTTTTTTACATAAATCTTTCAATAGTATTCTATTATTCCAAAAACATTCTAATATAAATGATAATATAATTAATAAATGAAGCATCCGTAGATAAAAAAGTATTCCTTCAAGTATGAAAAAAATCAAACTTGTGAGATTCCCTCTGGAAAGAATTGCAAAAGTAATCAAACGGAATTAAAATCTGGTCTTGTTCGGGTGAGGACTAAATCTGGTCTTGTTCGGGTGAGGACTATATCTGGTCTTGTTCTGGTGAGGACTATATCTGGTCTTGTTCTGGTGAGGACTATATCTGGTCTTGTTCTGGTGAGGACTATATCAGGTTTTGTTTTGGTGAGGACTATATCTGGTCTTGTGCTGGTGAGGACTATATCTGGTCTTGTTCTGGTGAGGACTATATCAGGTTTTGTTTTGGTGAGGACTGTATCAGGTCTTGTTCGGGTGAGGACTATATCTGGTCTTGTTCTGGTGAGGACTATATCAGGTTTTGTTTTGGTGAGGACTGTATCAGGTCTTGTTCGGGTGAGGACTATATCTGGTCTTGTGCTGGTGAGGACTATATCTGGTCTTGTTCTGATGAGGACTATATCTGGTCTTGTTCTGATGAGGACTATATCTGGTCTTGTTCTGCTGAGGACTATATCTGGTCTTGTTCTGGTAAGAACTATATCTGGTCTTGTTCTGGTGAGGACTATATCTGGTCTTGTTCTGGTAAGAACTATATCTGGTCTTGCTCTGGTGAGGATTATATCTGGTCTTGTTCTGGTAAAGACTATACCTGGTCTTGTTCTGGTGAGGACTATATCTGGTGAGGACTATATCTGGTCTTGTTCTGGTAAGAACTATATCTGGTCTTGCTCTGGTGAGGACTATATCTGGTCTTGTTCTGGTAAAGACTATACCTGGTCTTGCTCTGGTGAGGACTATATCTGGTGAGGACTATATCTGGTCTTGTTCTGGTGAGGACTATATCTGGTCTTGTTCTGGTAAAGACTATACCTGGTCTTGTTCTGGTGAGGACTATATTTGGTCTTGTTCTGGTGAGGACTATATCTGGTCTTGTTCTGGTAAGAACTATATCTGGTCTTGCTCTGGTGAGGACTATATCTGGTCTTGTTCTGGTAAGGACTATATCTGGTCTTGTTCTGGTGAGGACTATATCTGGTCTTGTTCTGGTAAAGACTATACCTGGTCTTGTTCTGGTGAGGACTATATTTGGTCTTGTTCTGGTGAGGACTATATCTGGTCTTGTTCTGGTAAGAACTATATCTGGTCTTGCTCTGGTGAGGACTATATCTGGTCTTGTTCTGGTAAGGACTATATCTGGTCTTGTTCTGGTGAGGACTATATCTGGTCTTGTTCTGGTAAAGACTATACCTGGTCTTGTTCTGGTGAGGACTATATTTGGTCTTGTTCTGGTGAGGACTATATCTGGTCTTGTTCTGGTAAGAACTATATCTGGTCTTGCTCTGGTGAGGACTATATCTGGTCTTGTTCTGGTAAGGACTATATCTGGTCTTGTTCTGGTGAGGACTATATCTGGTCTTGTGAGGACTATATCTGGTCTTGTGGTGAGGACTATATCTGGTGAGGACTATATCTGGTCTTGTTCTGGTGAGGACTATATCTGGTCTTGTTCTGGTAAGGACTATTTCTGGTCTTGTTCTGGTAAGGACTATTTCTGGTCTTGTTCTGGTGAGGACTATATCTGGTCTTGTTCTGGTGAGGACTATATCTGGTCTTGTTCTGGTGAGGACTATATCTGGTCTTGTTCTGGTAAGGACTATATCTGGTCTTGTTCTGGTAAGAGGGTCTTGTTCTGGTATATATCTGGTCTTGCTCTGGTGAGGACTATATCAGGTCTTGTTCTGGTGAGGACTATATCTGGTCTCGTTCTGGTGAGGACTATATCTGGTCTTGTTCTGGTAAGGACTATATCTGGTCTTATTCTGGTGAGGAATATATCTGGTCTTGTTCTAGTGAGGACTATATCTGGTCTTGTTCTGGTGAGGACTATATCTGGTCTTGTTCTGGTGGGACTATATCTAGGTCTTGTTCTGGTGAGGACTATATCTGGTCTTGTTCTGGTAAGGACTATATCTGGTCTTGTTCTGGTGAGGACTATATCTGGTCTTGTTCTGGTGAGGACTATATCTGGTCTTGTTCTGGTGAGGACTATATCTGGTATTGTTCTGGTGAGGACTATATCTGGTCTTATTCTGGTGAGGACTATATCTGGTCTTGTTCTGGTGAGGACTATATCTGGTCTTGTTCTGGTGAGGACTATATCTGGTCTTGTGCTGGTGAGGACTATATCTGGTCTTGTGCTGGTGAGGACTATATCTGGTCTTGTTCTGGTGAGGACTATATCTGGTCTTGTGCTGGTGAGGACTATATCTGGTCTTGTGCTGGTGAGGACTATATCTGGTCTTGTTCTGGTGAGAACCATATCTGGTCTTGTTCTGGTGAGGACTATATCTGGTCTTGTGCTGGTGAGGACTATATCTGGTCTTGTGCTGGTGAGGACTATATCTGGGTCAGAAACTCAAAACAAATAAAAACAGTGATTCCAGTGACTTAAGTGGCACTTTAAGTGAATCATCAACAAACAAGCATTTACAAGAAAAATAAATGGACAGTGGCTAGAAACACTTGCATACATATACACAGAAGCATAGAGGTAACAAAAACATTATAAAATATTGCCAACTTAACAGGCAAACCCTCAGTGACACCCAACTGAAGGTTACCCCGACCGGAGACGAGAGCAGTCGAGCCTCCCCAAGTCTGGACTGAGATCACTACCAGCTAACACTACATCACCGGAGTTTAGGAAGTTTGTCACAGTGGTTCCAGACAAGGAAACAATCTCTTGCTTAAACAAGCAAGCCTCTTCAGTGCGCAAGACCCAGGTCAGTTTCCAGGCTGATCGCTGCAAGAGAAAGTCAGCCCCCCAGGTGGATCATTGCAAGAAAGTCAGCCCCCAGGCTGATCGCTGCAAGAGGCCAGCCCCCCAGGTGGATCGCCGTAAAACCTGACGTCATCGCCAGAGCGAAACTACACAGATTCTCCACTCAGGCAGATCACAAACGATCACTATTTTATAACACAAACACAATTGAACTTCAAGAAGTCTTCACATGTAGTCAATATAAAATACAAATTATTTGCACAAATGAGCAAAGGTAAAATTAAATAAACACATTTAGAAAGTACGTCCTCTACTTACAAAAAGTATATATATATATTCTATACTTTTAAATACTTTTAGCACTTTTTAATAACTTTAATATTTTTTCTCTTCATTCTCATAACTCAGTGAGTGGGCAATGTAGTGACTTTCATACAGTGAGTGAAGTGATAAATATTCCTATATATGGACCCTCTTCCAAAAATTTTGGGTATCAAATTGGAAATTAGTGACTCAGACTCTAATAGTCAGTCATCTAAAAAGTCATAGGAGCTAGTGGCAACTGATAGTGAGGAAGAACTACCACAAATTAGCCAAATAGAGTTAACACCTACCAACTCTTTAGCTAGCTGTGAAAATTTCTTAGATTCTCAGTTTGAGGATTTATACAGTAGACAATAAAGGTCAGGTAACATTTACCTATTACGTTCACCTGTTACTAACGCTAGTGCTTTAACTAACACAACAAAAATGGCATCAGGTGGTTCTACTAACCCACTGATTTCATCGGTTTGTCAAACTGTAAAGATACTTCCAAATAACATGAAGGTACAAGAGTTTACTGCAGACGATCCAGATTATACTACTTTAGCATTTTTGCGTAAGTGCGAAGATGTAAAGAGAAATAATAATGTCACTAACGATATAGATAAAATATCACACGTCCAAATAGGTGTAGGGCGGGCGGGCGGGCGGGTCGTGTTGCATCTCTGTAACAAAGCGTGTTCGGCATTCGGGCCTTCGATGTAGAGTGGCAGAAATTGGACAGTGATTACATAAGATCGTCAAGATCGTCTTAGTGATGTGAAAGTGTAAATCGATGTAGGACTTTTAATGCTAGACGCGATTGTATTTTTGAAAACTCAATTTCCACCGAGTTGGAGGTACAGCCAGGGTCACAGGCCTATAACCACAAAATCACTGCCACATGACAAGGCTTCTATTTTATTTTTTTTTAAGGTGTTGTGGTCACTGCTGTGATAAAGGCCAATCAGGGAGTGTAGTACTGTGATTTTAGGTAAACCAGTTCATAGTGTCATCAGTGACTGCAGAAGAGACTGTAAATAACTTAAAGTGAATACATATTGGCAATCAAGCTGGTAAGGACAACTGCCAGCCTATTCGTGTCATAGGTGCCACAGAGACTTTAAATTTTATTTTGTTTGTGTGCTTTCTCAAGGACTGAAACTGTGCCTGCAATACACCATTCACAGGGCGATACAGTGTACGCAGTCGCAGACGACAACTCTATAGGCAACAGAGAGTAGCTAAGTACTTTTTCTCTCTTTACTTTTTTAAATAGGTGTAGATCTATACACAGTCTGCACCCCCCCTCCCCCAACAACAACAACAACCATGAGTTTGATATGTGATTACTGCAGGGAAACGTCGGATATGGAAGATATAGGCCTGACTAATGCACCGTTTAGGAAGTTACTAACTGCAGTAAAGCACGATGGCTGTTGCTGGTATTGCCCTGGCTGCATAGTCAAGGTGAATGAAGCGATTGCAAGCCATAAGGGAACGAGTTCTCTAGGGACGAAAATAGATGAAGCTGGAGCCATGCTGGTTGACAAACTGGAGCAAGTTGGGAAAGAGATCCTTGCTAAGACTGAGGAAGTAGCCGATAGAATGGAGGTGATTGCTAAGAGGAGTTATGCTGACGTATTAGGAGGGCCACGGGAGGGGGCGGAGAGTAATGCAGGATCAGTACAGGTTCTACAACAGCTTGGGA